TTAGTCCAGCATACTGTTCAATTTGCTCAATTTGCAGCTCAATATCAAGAAAATGGCAAGCTGAACTGGGGGTACAGGCGGCTCAAGTGGACGGAGAGAATTTTTTGTGATACCTATGTGACTCAAGCGTCAGATGGTGCAACTAGGAGAAGGAAATGGATACCAAAAGGTAGTGAAGAAAAACATGTCAAATAGAAGAAGAAAGAAAAACCTGCGTAGAACAAGTAAGCCCCATGAATGCTACCTATTGAGTTAATAGTGACCATATTTCATGACAAGGTTGTCACTTGTCACCAGTGAAGCTCCATGTACATGCTTATAGCACACATTGCGCTCGCTCGTGTAGTTGGCTACAAGTGAATTGGGGTATCACACTGCAAATACTATTTCAGTTTTTGTTTTACAGGTTGACAATTGTAGTTATCTTTATGCACCGTTGTATAATATGAACACGCACCGATAACATGCTAATTAAGACTATTATGTAAGACCAAAAAAGGAAGCAGAAGTTATGTAATCAGCATAAACCGAAGGTAAAGAGGGAGACCTCGGATATAAATGCTTCGATTTCAGGCTTTGAAAGGTCCTTGTAAAGAGCTTCAGTGATCTCCTTCTCTTTTTCTTCAAGCATCTTTGCAATATTCTCCAACTGCAACCTTCTCCACTCATAGCTTTTCGTCCTTCCCGAATTGAAACTCTTTCGCAGCTCCTTAACTAGAAGACCAGCTTTTTCCGGATTGAATGTTTGCTTTGCTTCTTCAACCTCCGCGGTTACAGCCGACAGAGTTGCAGAACAAGGTTTAGTGCTAAAAACAGAACAAACAAGAATCAGATACTACACATACATACATACAATTTCGACGAAACTAATAAATGCATGTTCCCTTGATTTTTATGGAAGAAAAAAGGGAAAAAGAGAAGTCGACTTACGAGTAGGAAGAGCATGTAAGTTTGGAGGAAGAGAAATGCTTCTGGTTTTGATAGTTGCTTCTTCTTCTCTGAAACGGGTGAATGAAAGCTCTGCTGCTCCGAGTCCCAGTCCCTATCCCAGCAGTACCCGCCAAACCCAAACTGGTTTGGTACCATCCCACTATAATTAGTTAAATAAACAGAGCATATATGTTGACATAAAAAGAGTATAAGAAGGGCAGGTAGTACCTGTAATTCTTAAAAAGATCAATGCAGAGGCCTTTCATGGTTGATCAGAGAGAGAGAGAGAGAGAGAGAGAGAGAGAGAGAGAGAGAGAGATTGAAGGCACTTCTGCTAACTACTGCAGTCTGCAGATGGAAGTGTTGAAAGCATCATCAAGTTGCATTTGCATTGGCATATAGAAATAGAAACAGGAGGAGGACCGCTCCGGAGGTAGGTACCTAGTACAACTTACAAGGGACCAGCAAGGTGGGTCTCTAAACAGAAGCCAAGGGTACAAGATTAAGGGGTGGTTTGGGAGTGAGGTGCTTAAAAAAAAAACACCCATGAAAAAAAGTTGTGAGGGTTTTAGGTGTTTGGTAAACTGAAAAAAAAGGCTTATTTTGGAAGCTCCTGTGAGAATAAGCTAAAATCAAAGAAAAAAGCTGAAGCTGTTATTTGTAGCTTTGGAAAACTGGTTTTTTTTCAAAGCACACGGAGCTACAGTGCTCCTTTAATGAAAAGACCCACTATCAGACTGCTTTTTTTTTTCAAAAGCACTTTTACAAAAAAGTTTACCAAACACTGTGCTGATTTTTTTCACAGCCGCTTATTCTCACAGCAGCTTTTTTTCAAAGCACAGCAATACCAAACCAGCCCTAAAACTAGAAAAACTTTCTCTGCCTCTCATCTTAAAAGACAAGGGGATAAGGTTTAGCAAACATTATTGGTGGGGTGCGATATGTAAACTCACAGGCGCAATCTGGCTCCAAAATGTGTCTTCCACTAACTTTCTGTTTGAATAAGAAAAATGACCTCGAAATTGAAAAAAAGTCAGAATTTGTAAATTAACATGTATCAATTCTTTTACTTTGATCATGAACATACAAATTTAAAATTTTTTTGTAGAATAAAACTCATAATTTGAGACCTCTAATTCTTAAATTAAATAGTTATCATTTCTGAATTTTCATGAGTAAAAATGTGGTAACCAAATTTCCCATGATCAAAAGGAGACATCATGTGTACCAAAGCGAACCTAGTTGAATGCAAGATTACTGTAGGGCTTCGCCAATACTTAACACTCACGTGGATTGAGTATTAAATGCGAGATGGGATGTCTCCGTGTAAATCACGCCTAATAGAGGTGACAACTGCCATTGTGGGGAACCGCTGAGCTTGAGGCTGAGTCTCCTGAGCAAATCACACGAGCTGTTGACTTTTGATCTAATGGTTACAATTATTATAACTTTTGGAAAAGCTTCATGTTTATAGCCGTTGAAATTAAAATCTAATGGCCCGTATGATTTGCTTAGAAGGCTCAGCCTCCTAAACTCAGGAGATGATCTATTCCCACCATAGTAGGCACCACACCTCATGAGATGGACTCACGTAAATCGATACGACGGACCACTCCCACTTAGCATAGTTGGTGAGCTCATCGGGCCAAGGAAGACTGTGCAAGCCTAGAAGGGCTCGCATATGAGACCAACCCAGAAATGCCTGATAAGGTAATATTCAACAAAACCTTTAAGAGATAATAGTTAATCATGGCTCCTACATAGCCATGGTCAGTAGTACTGTTAAGAGTCACTCCCGAACATGACTCTTGATTGGCGCCTGTTTGTATCTGATGTTACATTAGTGGTCCGTGCAATCAAGATTATTGAATGTGTAGAGTTTTAGACCGTTGAATGAAAAGTTAAGATAATATTATTATTGTTGAGAGATCATAATATTATCTTTTAAAGCCAAAATGATCCTTAAGATTTGCATAATACATTCATTTAGTTTCTGAGATTGAAAATCAATAGAAATGGTCCCTGAGATTGTCTACCATCAATTATTTTGGTCATTCCGTTAAAAACTCTGTTAGGTGTCACATAATTCTTGGCTGGAAGTTTGGGCAATTTTCAAAACTTCGTAACTTAATCGTTTCTTAACAAAATTTGATCCATAATATATCAAAGGGAAAAGCTCTCGGTACTATTCACTTTAATGAAAAACCACATTATTAAAACTATTTGGAAACCCAATGGTTGCCGGAGATGACAGAAAAATAGCCTGAGAGATGACTGGTCCGCGAAAAAACTGAAAACTCATTAGAAACTGGATAAACTTTAAATATTCATAACTTATTCAATACTCAATGAAATCGAGTGATTTAAAAAACAAAAATTATACTTCTCGACGAGATAAAGAGAATTGTACCTTTTTCGACAGTTAAATCATCGTCATTTAGCCAGAAAACAGCTCGAACATAGCTATCTTGATCTCAAGTTAAACACTTTACAAATTACTTCGTGGTAAAAAGTAACCCCGTTTCTGGAAGATAAGAAAGAGTTAAGACGGAAAGAGTGAGGAAGGTTAAAGGCAAGATGCTGACACCAAAGCTGGTACGCTCTCTTGTGTTTGGAGAAACCATCAACAACCTCTCCTTCTTCCCCTACATCACCACGACGACGACGACGACGACAATGGCAGTCACAAACAAACGGGCGGCGGAGGAAGAAGCAGAGACAGCAGCAAATCGAGAATCCCATTTCTCCTATTCCTCCCAACCAAAGAGATCGTCACTGACACTTACAGACTTGCCACCATAGCCAGAGACATGGGCATGGACTTGCATCCAACCCCATCTCTCTCCCACATCATTCTCTCCTTCCCGCCTCCGCTACCGTCCTCCTCCTCATCTCCCTCTACAGCATCACCGTCCTCATTTCCATCGTCGTGGTCCTCATCGTCGCTGTCGTCAACGTCTTCACCCGACGACGCGGTTCCCCTCCCCTTCCCCTGTCTCTCCGCCGCCCCAATTTCCCATGTTCGCGCATTTGTCAAGCTCTCCAAAGGCCTTTTCAAGCTGGTTTTTGTGCGCTCCGATTGCAAACCCAGTGATGCAAATAGCGTTGGCGGTCAAAGCAATTGGAATTGCAGCTCAATGTCGCTGCTTTTGCGGCTCACCGGTGACAGAATTGATACAATGGAAGGGTTTTCCCGGGCTTTGGCGGGACTGGGATGGACCCATTTCAAGACCAAGGAAAACCCAGCAACGGATTCGAGGGACAGGAGACATTATCAGTGATTCTATGCTAAGATATTATCAGTGAATCATATATCTTTTTGGAGTTTTCTAGCCAATGCAAAATGTATGCCAACCGTTGCCTTGAATTGGATTGTTTAGGTGTTTTTTGTTCATAGTTTAGGTGTTCTTTGTTTTTTGGAAGTAAGATTGACTTGATTCTAGTTCATAGTTTAAGGATGACAATGGTTAAATCATAGTTTTGGGAACAAATTGGCATGAGACTAAAGTTGAAACGGCTTATTTTATAATTTTCTATTTCGTTTATCCTGAGATTTGAAATATCATGACTGTGCTTATTGTTTCTAGTACCATGGCTCTTTAGATGACTCTTGAGCCTGTGGATGCACAGTACCAAAAAAAAAAAAAAAAAAAACTATGGCAAAGGGAAGATGAAGAAAAACGTATGCTTGCTCACGCGATGTCTCTGGGGTGAACTGTTTGCAGCCGTAAGAATCAGTCGAACAATTGTAACTAGTTTACAACTTGAAGAACTTAAACCGAATGAAAATGAAAACCCACGAGAGTTGTTTAGGAAAATGGCCATGTTTGGCAAAAGAATACAAAAATAACCCATCAGAGAAGTTCTATCTTTTTCATTTTTCTTATTTTTCTCTCTTTGCTGCACTGGATTGGCTAGATTTTCATAGCCATCTCCTTCCCTCATCTTACTTTCTCTCACTAACTCTTTATCTCTCTTTCTAGGGATGTTCGTGGCAGCTTGACCCTTCCTCTCTATGAAGGGTTACCAAAACTGGGGCCAAAATATTTGAACTCTCGCTCTATGCGGATGTGGGTAATCCAAACATGATGACATGTTATTGCCAAACGAATATGAAGTTCACATTTTATATTACAAAGAAACCCAACGTATCATAAAAATTAACAAATTGTTAGACTCTGAAGTACAACATGTTGATGTCTATGTCTTCCAGAAGCCTACGCTGAGGAGGAAACTTGGGCAAGCAATTCGCAATGCTTGTAGCGGTAGCGAGCAGCTTATTGTTTCTGTCTTTAGATGACATTCCCTGTGTAGCATTGTCCCCATGGGTGGGCAAACTAACGACATCGAAGTTGAAGTTGGTCTTCCCAATTAGGTCTTGAAGTGCCTTCTGATCGCAAGTCCAACTTCCACTTATCAAACTGAAGTTATATAGGGGAAGAAAACGTTGTCCATATGTAGCTAGGAACTCCAGCGCAGCTAAAATGAACTCCAGTTCATCGTTTGACATGTAGTAGGGAAAGCTGATTCTAGTCCACCCTGGTTTCACTCCAAGATAGTCCTGTACATAAATTTTTTTAGAACCATTAGTAATCTTAAACTCTCCGTTAAACGTTGAACATTCTAAGAAAAGGTTTCGTTTCGGACTGTATGACACCATAAGTAAATCTTATGTTTGCCGAATTGGGTATTTTGACCATACATCAGGATGTGCAATTTAGATTTACAATCTATCGCCATAAGTCTGGCAAGAGAACATTACCCGAGCGTGGAAAACTTAGCGTGGTAGGAGAAGTTGAAGATGAATTGGATTAGGAATTACCTTCTGAATGGAAGATCTATAGGCATGTGAAACAGTGTGATCAATTTTGAGGAGCTTGTGACCATAGGGTCCAGCACAAGCGCAGCCGCCTCGAGCCTGAATACCGAATAGATCATTGAGCAGAGCTGCGACGAAACCCCCATGAAGTGGCTTGCCTCTGCTGTTTCCCGTCTCTCCCCACATGTAGAGCCCTTGGTCAGCTCCCTCTCTGCCAATATCTGTTTTCGTGGCAGCCGTTGATGAGCAATTGGTCGTAGAATAAACGAGGAAGGACAAAATGGCTAGTCTTTTGGCGGTCGTATTTCCTAAAATCCATATGTTTTGGTTAGGGAGAAGCCTCTCTAGTGCCCTTTTAACATGGAGTTGCTCTTGCTTTTCAATGATTTGATAACCAATGTATTCCTTCACCCAGAAAGCCAAGGCTGCTCTAATTGTTTGGATGATTTGAGGAGTACCGCCGTTTTCCCTCTCTTCTATGTCCTCGCAGTACACTGTGTCCTGCATTTGTCACATAATATATGAACTTGCACATATAATAAAACTACAACATATGTGATGTTAGTTGCCATTAAACCGCTCCGTTAGAGAAAATCTCGAGTTCAAATCTCATGCCCTTTAATTTGAATGGTCACATAAATGATAGAATTGGTTTAATAAATGCCTGAACACAACATTTCTTTTTTAATTTTTGTTAATAATGATTGTCATTGATAATGTATGAATGTAATATTAAGAGAAAATTGGAATATTGGTTTTTGAATTTTAACCTAATTGGACTGTGAGTATTAAGACTTGAACTTGTTACAATGTGGAGCGATGATCTCTTCCGGTAACTCTGTTCGAACTCATGTTCTTAGTTTTTCCTTTTAACCTTTTATTTTAGATGAAAATTCTAATGGTGTTACCTAGGAGGACTGTTGCTACATGAATCAATGCTCCAATTATCAGTAACATTAATTAAGACATAGCTGTAAATTAATGACATAATGAAAAATTAAACAATCATAAAGCAGCAGAAGGACATTGCTTTGTTTGTGTGGTGCCAAGATGACCAAGTCAGATGCTATGAATCTAGAACCAGATCACATGATTTTCGTTATTAATTGACAATTAATTTAATCCTAACTTTTGGCAAAACCAAAAATTAGTACTTGGATTAAGGAATACCTCAGGATTGAAGCCATTGACGTAAGCAACAGTCCCACCTCCACAAGTTGATGGGGGAAAAGACTTGAGCCGATACAGTGCCTTGCTCATCACAAGTATGCCTGGGGTTCCGGGCCCACCTACAAACTTGTGTGGGCTCAGGAAAATACCATCGTACCCGTCTATCTGTCCACTCCTCATCTCAATTTCCACATACGGCCCACTGTATTTTGTCGCACACCGAATCAATACCAACACGAGAAAAACTCAGTTTAATTAAATAACAACAGGTATCAGTATACCAACATCGCTTGTATACGAACAAAATTAATTTAATTAATTCGACCACTTTTTTTGTACAATTTAATTTAACCAATTTTTTTTTTCAATTTAATTAATTAAGAACAAAATTAATTCAATTAATTTGACCAATTTTTTGTTTAATTTAATTAAATAAGAACAAGTAGCAGTTTACCAAACTAGTTGATAAAAAATCATAAAAATAAAAAAATTTGCAGTTTTTAGTTGGAATGTCCAAAGGTTCTACTTGCATTTGACTTTATATTTTTAACAAAGGCATTGAGGTTCTTCTGCGATCGATTCATCTCTCCTGATATGGCTTGTATGCAAAAACAAGATGAAAGAAAACGAGTGGTGGGGTGTAGTCGGTTTACCTTGCTGCGAAATCAAAGCATGCAAAGCCGCCATATTGATGAAGAAGTCGAGCGATTGCTCGTGTATCCGAATAAATTCCGGTCACATTGCTACAAGCCGAGAAGGAACCCAAAATCGGGCGGTTGGAGTACTTGTATGACTCGAGTTGTAGTCTAAGAGCCTCCATGTCCAACAAGCCATCCTCGTCCAGACCGATCTCGATCACTTGAGCTAAGCTTTGCCGCCACGAGAGGAGGTTCGAGTGGTGCTCGTAAGGGCCGACGAAAACCAACCACCTCTCTTCCATGTAAGTCTCATGAGAGCTGCACACTTGTTAATACATGTATCTAAGGTTTGAGGTTATAGAGTTCGAGTATGACTTTGTTTGTAAGCTACCAAAAGGTGTGTACGATAAGGAATGTAGCTAAACAATCCTGATAAACTATACTACTGTTATATTATCTGATATGGATACTTGGGATTGCATGATAAGGTTGAGTTCAATTAGGACTAACATTATGGGAAGTCTCCTAGTTGAAACACCATTGCATAAGGTTAAAAATATAGGGTCCCTGCACTCTCAATTGACACGCAATAAAAGAGCCTCACGCCCCATAGTATTGAGCCATTGCATTCTGAGATTGACGAGTTGCAGAAGAAGCCTATCTCGATCGCATTCTAGCCGACATGGTTTCTACAGGTTAGTGGTTATTTGGTTTTAGTGAATCAGTTATGTATTAAACTAATCTTACATTTGGTATCAGAGCTTTTCACATACCAATTAACCCTAAGATGAAAGCATCAAGAACAATCTTCTTTTACTGCAGATTATGGACTGCTGACAAGTTATCAGGGAATTCATGTATTGAGCATATATCAGCTAAAGCTGTTTGTGTTCATATGCATGTCTTAAAAAACTTGGACATCAGTAGTTGCACTNTCTGTCCACTCCTCATCTCATTTCCACATACGGCCCACTGTATTTTGTCGCACACCGAATCAATACCAACACGAGAAAAACTCAGTTTAATTAAATAACAACAGGTATCAGTATACCAACATCGCTTGTATACGAACAAAATTAATTTAATTAATTCGACCACTTTTTTTGTACAATTTAATTTAACCAATTTTTTTTTTCAATTTAATTAATTAAGAACAAAATTAATTCAATTAATTTGACCAATTTTTTGTTTAATTTAATTAAATAAGAACAAGTAGCAGTTTACCAAACTAGTTGATAAAAAATCATAAAAATAAAAAAATTTGCAGTTTTTAGTTGGAATGTCCAAAGGTTCTACTTGCATTTGACTTTATATTTTTAACAAAGGCATTGAGGTTCTTCTGCGATCGATTCATCTCTCCTGATATGGCTTGTATGCAAAAACAAGATGAAAGAAAACGAGTGGTGGGGTGTAGTCGGTTTTACCTTGCTGCGAAATCAAAGCATGCAAAGCCGCCATATTGATGAAGAAGTCGAGCGATTGCTCGTGTATCCGAATAAATTCCGGTCACATTGCTACAAGCCGAGAAGGAACCCAAAATCGGGCGGTTGGAGTACTTGTATGACTCGAGTTGTAGTCTAAGAGCCTCCATGTCCAACAAAGCCATCCTCGTCCAGACCGATCTCGATCACTTGAGCTAAGCTTTGCCGCCACGAGAGGAGGTTCGAGTGGTGCTCGTAAGGGCCGACGAAAACCAACCACCTCTCTTCCATGTAAGTCTCATGAGAGCTGCACACTTGTTAATACATGTATCTAAGGTTTGAGGTTATAGAGTTCGAGTATATGACTTTGTTTGTAAAGCTACCAAAAAGGTGTGTACGATAAGGAATGTAGCTAAACAATCCTGATAAACTATACTACTGTTATATTATCTGATATGGATACTTGGGATTGCATGATAAGGTTGAGTTCAATTAGGACTAACATTATGGGAAGTCTCCTAGTTGAACACCATTGCATAAGGTATAAATATAGGGTCCCTGCACTCTCAATTGACACGCAATAAAAGAGCCTCACGCCCCATAGTATTGAGCCATTGCATTCTGAGATTGACGAGTTGCAGAAGAAGAGCCTATCTCGATCGCATTCTAGCCGACATGGTTTCTACAGGTTAGTGGTTTTATTTGGTTTTAGTGAATCAGTATATGTATTAAACTAATCTTACATTTGGTATCAGAGCTTTCACATACCAATTAACCCTAAGATGAAAGCATCAAGAACAATTTTTTACTGCAGATTATGGACTGATGACAGGTTATCAGGGAATTCATGTATTAAGCATATATCAGCTAAAGCTGTTTGTGTTCAAATGCATATCTTCAAAAACTTGGACATCAGTAGTTGCACTAGAGTTTGATATGTAAACACTAATCATCTAAAGATGATCCGTTGTTTATATATCAAATTCTAAGTGGCAGAATGCTTCATTAAAACCATGAATGAGCACCGACATGACCACAAAACCACAAAGGTTTATAGTCATGATCAAAGTCAGGTTCGTTCATGGGATATGTTGGCATTGTGATAAAGAAAATTGTTCATAAATTTTAACATTCAAAGATGTTGAAACTGTGACATATGGATATGGGACTAAAGTTTAATTTCTTTGCATATTGCGGTTTTAAAGGTGTCAATCCAAGCTCCATGAATCTCAATACCATTGAGCCACTGACTGGAATGAATTATAAGAAGTGGAAGCAAGACCTTGAGATTGTTCTTGGGGTGATGGATATGGATTTGGCACTAAGGAGTGATGAACCACTGCTGCCCGATGAAGGATGCACATCAAGTCAAAGGTCTAAGCATGAGAAATGGCAGAAAGCAAACAGAATCTCTCTCATGATTATCAGAAGGACCATGACTGATGTTGTGCGCGGGGGTTTCCCAGAAACATCCAAAGCCAAGGATCTTATGAAATCCATTGAAGAAAAATACAAGGAGTCCGAGAAGACCGAGACAGGTAACATGATGAATTCTCTCACCACTATTAGATATGATGGAGTTGAAAGTGTTCGGGAATATATTCTCAAAGTGGTGGACATTGCTGGAAAATTGAAGATGCTTGAGGTACCAATTTCTGAGACCTTTTTGGTTCATGTAGTTATGAATTCTCTACCTGAAAGTTACACTCAGTTAAAAGTCTCATATAATGCACTGCAAGCTAAGTGGGACATCAATGAATTGATTTCCATATGTGTGGGTGAGGAAGTCAGAATTAAGAAAGAAAGGGCTGAGAAAGAAAGGCTGAATCAGTGAATTATGTCCAAAGCTACAACCAAAACCCCAAGCATGGTAACCATGATACTGTCAGAAAAGATGCTACCAGAAGTGCTTCCTCCTCTAAGAAAGTTTTTAAACCTAACAAACCAAGTATTTTCAAATGTTCTGCAAAAAGGCAGGCCACATGAAGAAAAATTGTCCAAAATACAAAGCTTGGCTTGCCAAGCAAGAAGTGAAAAAAGGTAAAAATGTTTTCGTTTGTTTTGAGTCTAATTCAGTTGACATACCTAGTAATGCATGGTGGCTTGACTCTGGCTCTTCTATTCATGTTACGAATTCATTGCAGGACTTCACAATAAGGAGAACACCAAATAAAGATGAAGTGAAGGTCTTGGTGGGCAATGGAAGAAGGGTTGAAGTCAAAGCCTTAGGAACTGTTAGACTTAAGTTAGAATTTGGTTTTCATCTGGATTTGGAAAATGTTGCTTATGTACCTTCCATGAGGAGGAAATTAGTATCGGTTTCAAAACTTGTTTTGCTAGGTTATTATTTTACATTAAATAAAATTGGCTTCAAACATCTTTTACAATTCTTCTCACATTGGCACTGGTTCTATATGTGACGGGATGTTTCAGTTCAAATTAAGAGTTGAAAACGTGATTTTTAATGTTGAAAAGAATCATGAAAAACCACAACAGTCATCCCATCTTTGGCATAAAAGACTCGGACATGTTTCAAAACCGAGAATGGAACTTTTGATCAAAAGTGAAATTTTACCACCCTTGAATTTTAATGATTTCGAACTTTGTATAGAATGCATCAAGGGAAAAATGACTAATTCAAGAAAAGAAGGATCGACTAGAAGCAAACAACTTTTAGAGATCATTCATACAGATATTTGTGGCCCCTTTCCTACAAAAACAATCGATGGAAACAAGTACTTTATAACATTTATAGATGATTTTTCACGTTTCTGTTTTATATATTTAATCCCTGAGAAGTCAAAAGCTCTTGAAGTCTTTAAATTTTTAAAACTGAAACTGAAAACCAATTGGAAAGGAAGATCAAAGTGGTTAGGTCTGATAAAGGAGGTGAGTACTATGGTAAGCAGAGTCAAACTGGCAGGCAACCAGGACCATTTGCATTGTATCTTCAAGATCATGGCATTGTAGCACAGTATACCACTCCTGGTACACCTGAGCAGAATGGAGTCTCTGAGAGAAGAAACAGAACCCTTATGGACATGGTTAGAAGCATGATGTGCAAGGTGAACTTGCCAAATTTTTTGTGGGGAGAAGCAGTCAAGACTGCTAACTACATTATTAACAGAGTGCCATCCAAAGCAGTTGTGAATACACCTTTTGAATTGTGGACAGGTAGGCGACCTAGCTTTAATCATTTACATATCTGGGGATGCAAGGCTGAAGCTAAGGTTTACAACCCTAATGGCAAGAAGCTCGATCCTAAGACACTCTCTTGTTATTTCGTGGGATATGCTGAGAGGTCTAAAGGTTTTAGGTTTTATTGTCCCAATCATGACATGAAAATTGTTGAGACTGGCAAAGCAATATTTATGGAACTAGGGATGGATGCTGAAAACTGTTCGAGGACAGAAGAATTTGTTTTTGAAGAACAAGGAGATATATGGGCTGAATATGACCAACAACAAACTGTACCCAAGTCAGTGGTTGAACTTCCAAATCACGTGGACCATAGCATGGGAAATGATGATTATTTAATTCAACATGGCAGCAACCACGCACTAGTGAATGGTAATGAAATTGAGGCATTATTAAATGAGGAACAACATGAAGAGAATGAGGAAGGGCACGTGGAAAATGCAGCTGTAAATAGCAGCCATGTGAACCGACAAGAGCACCGACAAGAGCACCGTCAAGAGCACCGACTGGAGCACCGACTAGAGCAGCATGCAAATGTTTATGGAGAGCACGTGGAGATGGTTGAGGTGAATGGCAATGAACACCGACACGATGGTATAGGTATTGGTGAGGTTGCACCGCTTGTGAGGAAATCGGGTAGGGTAAGAAAATCCACTTTATGTTCAGATTTTGTATATATGGCAGAATTAGACTTTAATATGTCAGAGTTTAATGATCCTGGGAGTTACAAAGAAGCAACCTCAAACATTCATGCAGATAAGTGGATGGATGCAATGAGGAGTGAGTTGTCCTCGATGGAGGAAAACAAAGTTTGGAGCTTGGTAGAGTTAAAAGAAGGAATAAAACCCATAGGTTGTAAATGGGTTTTTAAAACCAAAAGAGACTCAAATGGAAATGTGGAAAGACACAAAGCAAGGCTTGTTGCCAAGGGTTTTACACAGAAAGAGGGCATTGACTACAAAGAAACATTTAGTCCAGTGTCTACTAAAGATGCATTCAGAGTCATCATGGCAATGGTAGCACACTATGATTTTGTTTTTACATCAAATGGATGTAAAAACAGCCTTCTTAAATGGTGAATTAGAGGAGGATATTTATATGGTACAACCTGAGGGCTTCAAAGAAGAAGGGAAGGAAAATATGGTATGTAAACTGAATAAATCAATTTACGGTTTAAAACAGGCATCTAGGCAGTGGTATTTGAAGTTTCATCATGTTGTTAAGGAGCATGGGTTTACAGAGAAAATCCATCTGATGCTTGTATATATTTGAAAGTCAGTGGGAGCACTTATATCATATTAGTGCTCTAAGTGGACGGTATTTTGTTAGTAGAAAATTGTTCTAGCCTATTGGATGAAACTAAGTCTTTCTTGCAGTGCAAGTTTGAAATGAAAGATTTAGGTGAAGCTTCGTATGTCTTGGGAATTGAAATCAAAAAGAGATAGAGAGAGAGGACTCCTGGGACTATCGCAGAAAGGGTACATAGAGAAAGTGTTAAAAAGATTCAATATGGCATCATGTGGAACCACAGAAATGCCAATTTCGAAGGGTGATAAACTGAGCAAAGAACAAAGTCCAAGAAACGAGATTGAAAGGGAGAACATGAAGGACAAACCATATGCTTCATTAGTGGGAAGTTTGATGTATGTTCAGGTCTGTACAAGGCCTGACCTTGCATTTACCATTAGTGTTCTAGGGAGATTTCAGTCCAACCCTGGAGAAGCACATTGGAATGCAGGGAAAAGGGTTATGAGATACCTTCAAAGAACTAAATCTCACATGCTCATTTACAAGAAAACTGAACGTTTGGTTTTGGAAGGTTATAGTGATGCTGACTTTGCAGGATGTCCTGATGATTTAAAATCAACTTCGGGTTTTGTCTTCACTATGGCAGGAGGAGCTGTGTCGTGGAAAAGTTCTAAACAAGATATAGTTGCAGCCTCAACTATGGTTGCTGAGTACTTGTCATGTTGTGAAACAGTCAATCAGGCAATATGGATGAAAAATTTTATTACAGGATTGAGAGTGGTAGACTCAATTCAAATGCCTATTCAGATATTCTGTGATAACAATGCAGCCATCTTTTTCTCTAAGAACAACAAAAGGTCAACTGCAACAAGGAATTTGGAGATTAAATATCTCATTGCTCGAGAAAAGGTAATGGCAGGACTTGTTAAGATTGATTACTTGGCAACTGGTTCTATGATTGCAGATCCTTTGAATAAGCCGGTGCCAGCTGCAGTGTTCAAAGGGCATGTTGCTAAAATGGGTGTGCTAGCAGGTTTTGAAGCTGTGGAATAGTGGGAGTCGTGTTTGTTCAATTTGTTAAGTTCTAATTTAGCATGTTTAGATTTATGCATTGAGAATAAGGTTATATTTATAACTAATAAAGATGTTGCTGTTGGTTGTTCAAAGTTCCCTTAAAGCATACAGCATTAGTTATAATGATATGTTTTAATACATGAATATCAATCTGAGTTATTGTTTAAAGATTAACAACCATTGAGGTTTCTTATGAAGCATGAAGAAAGCCTACGTTGGTAGTCATAAGGAGGACCACATGTCAAATGTGTTTAAATATATATGTACAGTCACATTTACATATTTCCATGTCTTGTTGGAGTTTCATGTATGGTAAGGTTTCATGAAGTGATTATGGGGATGCTGTTCTGGAGATGAGCATATAATTCCTTATAGTTCTTTATGAATACTCTGCAATGACAGAAACTGGATTTTCAGGTTTATGTTCAACTCTAAACTCATGGCCACTTAAGTATAATCTCTCTTCAGTATTACTATGATTAACAAGTGTTGGCTCTAGTGGGAGAATGTAAGTCTCATGAGAGCTGCACACTTGTTAATACATGTATCTAAGGTTTGAGGTTATAGAGTTCGAGTATGACTTTGTTTGTAAGCTACCAAAAGGTGTGTACGATAAGGAATGTAGCTAAACAATCCTGATAAACTATACTACTGTTATATTATCTGATATGGATACTTGGGATTGCATGATAAGGTTGAGTTCAATTAGGACTAACATTATGGGAAGTCTCCTAGTTGAACACCATTGCATAAGGTATAAATATAGGGTCCCTGCACTCTCAATTGACACGCAATAAAAGAGCCTCACGCCCCATAGTATTGAGCCATTGCATTCTGAGATTGACGAGTTGCAGAAGAAGCCTATCTCGATCGCATTCTAGCCGACATGGTTTCTACAGGTTAGTGGTTATTTGGTTTTAGTGAATCAGTTATGTATTAAACTAATCTTACATTCCATGCCTATTAAATCACTGCCCAGCATTCTATCTCTTAGGGTTGATGGCACGGCAATGCCCATCACTTCTTGGAGCCTTTTGATTGCTGAGGTAGTGCCTTGGCCGCACAGCAAGAGTGCATCATCCGCTCCAACCCCTAAGCATTTCTTCAAGTACTTGACTGCTTCTCCCACCATTTTCGTCGTCCGGTTTCCGACGAAGCTGTCACAGGTGTGAGTATTCCCTACATGTCAACACACACGTTCATTTAGTAGATTTGTTCTTGAGATTAACCAACTACTCGTAACATTTGATACAATACAGAGTTAATATACGTACCGTAAAAGGGAAGGACATTTTTGACGATGAAGTTTTCGATGTAGAGAAGAGAGCGTCCGGAGGCAGTGTGATCGGCGTAGATGAGTCTTCGTCTCCCGAAAGGAGAACTGAATTCTGCAGCAGCACCGACGACTTGAGAGCGTAGCCAAGACAGCCTTAGCTGCTCGGACTCGCTCTTTGGCACCTCCTTCATCCCAAGTGTTGCACAGAATGACGATTCTCCGCCGCGGTTGCAGTCGTCACAAGAAGCTGATTTCGTACCAGTGCTGCTGGTGATTGCTGTTGGGGAAGGGGAGTATTGGGTTTCTTTTAAGATGGGTTGGAATAATTTAAGAACAAGAAGAAGAATGTGTTGGAATTTATGAACAAATTCCATATGTAAATTAGCAAAAGATACACGAAAGAAAGGATTTATGAACAAGAAGAAGAATGTGTTGGAACTTGGAATCAATGCGGCAAATGTTGGCATCAAAGTGGCAGCACACCACACATATATATAGACTAGCCTTTCGCACGCGCAAGGACCCTTGCGTTAAATCAACGCAATCTTATTTCTCGTTGCCAGTAGTAAGAAATTTGAGTTACCGGCTCAGCTTTTCATTTTTTTATTTATAAACAATATTTTACACTAAATTATTTCTACTGCATAAAAAAGTTATGCGTAGAAGAAGAGTATATTGCACAACTTTTTATAGAAATAAAAAACAATCTAACTGTTTGAACTAAAAAATGAGGTTACAATTTAGTACTACGGTCTTGTGGTATTCCTCTTCACTTGAAAATGAGAGATCTTAGGTTCAATTCTCGCCAAAGGCGAATTCGAACCACATTATTACTAGCTTATTATGAGGCTAAGTCCACACACTCTTTATTAGTGTATATTAAAAAAAAAATAAAAACTTTAATGAAAAGCGCTTGGGCTAAATTTATTTTAATAAAAAATCATTTAACAATTTTATTTAATGTAAAAGGTTTGAAAGTTAATCAAAAAGGACAAAACCTAGAAAAGAAGCACATGTGCAAAACCAAAAGTTGTGTTTTTTTGGTAAATTACATAATACCCTTCAGCCTTCAGGTTTGAGGTCTATTACAACCTTATACAATATCTTTAAAACATTTCACTTTCATACCTCACGTACTATTTTATTTCAAAATAATACCTCCGTTAGATTTTTCATCCATTGGTATGTTAAATGCTGACGTGGCTGCTACATTTATGCTGATATAGCTGTCACGTGGTAAAAAAATAATTTTTTATACATTAAAAATATTATAATATTAACCTTATTTTAAAAAAATTATAAAAAAAAAATCCAAGCCCCGTTATAGTTCCATTCTAGTCACCAAAAAAGCCCCACGAATTTGAAAGAAAACTCTTTGAAAATCTTATACGCCAACATGTACCAAATGTGAAGTACACTGCCATATGTTCATCAATTTTTTTAGCTTTTGTTTTCATGAAACAAACTTTTCGTTTCATAATTTCGTACGCTCTAGTAAATTAATACACAGGAAATAAACGATCGAATAGACACATTGTGTTTTGTTAAAATTAGATAAAGGACATCGAAAAAAACATCTCTTATCAGTTTTTCATACTCAAATTCAAATCTAAAACCATAACAAAACACCAAAATTTTATAAAAGAAATCTATAAATATGCTCTGGTTGGAAGTATCATTACTTTTTTTGAGGTAAATTGTATGATATAATTGGCCTTCCAAATTGATCATTAGTGGTTTTTTTTTTCAGATCAAGAAATAGTTCGGTTCTAGAAAACTTAGTTTTTGCACTACTTCTCTATAAAACCTAGTTCGTTAACTGCATGTTTTCTTCCCATCCAGAAATAGTGTGGATTATTTGGGTTGGAATAAATTATGAACAAGAAGAAGAATGTGTTGGAATTTATGAACAAATTCCACATGTAAATTAGCAAAGATAATGGAATTTATGAACAAATTCCACATGTAAATTAGCAAAGATAAACGAAGGATTAATAACCTGCGGAATATGTTGGCATCAAAGTGGCATCACGTATATATATATACACTAGCCTTTGGCACGCGCAAGGACCATTGCGTTAAAGCAACGCAATCTTTGGATTGAATTTTATGCGGCTTCTCATTGCCAGTAGTGAGCAAATCTGAGTTACCGGCTTACCTTTTCATTTTTTATTTATAAACAATATTTTACACTAAATTATTTCAACTGCATAAAATAGTTAGGCGTAGAAGAAGAGTACATTGCGCGCTCTAGCCAACGTGACTTAGTCTACGTCTGGAGCTTTTTATAGAAATAAAAAACAATCTAACTGTTTGAACTAAACAATGAGGTTACCATTTAGTACTACGGTCTAGTAGTATTCCTCTTCATTTATAAGTAAGAGGTCTTATGTTCAATTCTCGCCAAAGGCAAATTCGAACCACATTATTGTTAGCTTATTGTGATGTTAAGTTCACACATTCTCCATTAATGAAGGTAATATGGCTTGTTTAAAAAAAAAAAATTAATGAAAAGAACCTGGACTAAGTTTATTTTAATAAAAAATTATCTAACAATTTTATTTAATGTAAAAAACTTGAAATTTAATCAAAAAGACAAAAACTAAATCCTCTAACGACAAAAACGTGTGTGTTTGTATATGCGACAAAATAGTTGTACTCGTATGTGGAAGGGGCTGTGGGTTTTGGGGGCGAAAGTGCAGTCCACATAGTGAAAATATTGGAGGGGGTTGGTGGAAATCTTTGGATTCAAGCTCCCGGTGCTCCACTGCCACTGGAATCTGCAACCGATTTGAATGGAATATTTAATAGAGTTGATGAAAATAACTATTGTTTTACTTTTTTACGAGTTCAAGAACCCACACCCTAATTAGATTAAACTTCATGATTCATTGCTCTATTTTTCATCCAAGTTTCAGATAAAGGCTCTCTATCTCTCTCTCCAGAGAGTAGTTTCTTCTGATTACAACAGTAGATAAATTATTTTTAGACCTTGACTGGATTATCTTTACTCCCATGCAAGTACCAGGACAAATGACAATTAGAAGGGTACTAAAGGAACATCTGATCGATCATGTTAGTCCCCATATTTTCATTGTTTGGCTGGTGACTTGGAGTTGGATTTAATTAATTCCATATGTTAATTAGGAAAGATTAACGAAAGGAATAATTTATGAACAAGAATTAATGTGTCATACACACATGTATGTGTATATATATTTAGTGGAAAGAAGTTTTGAAATTGTTTCACCAATGGGACCATTGCGTTAAACTAACGCGACCTTTTCAATTCAATTCAATATTGCGCCCGTTTCTTGCCGCCGCAGTCAAAGTTCAACGCAGATTGGATTTTATTTGGATCTCATTGCCAATAGTAAGCAAGTCTTTTTTTGTCAAAAATAGTAAGCAAACTTTTTTTAGTAATGCTATTCATACCATGTTTTTGTACCATATTTTTATACCACCTTAGGTGTCATCTGATTTGAACAGCCACATTATTTGAAAAATTTGCAAAACCCAAGGAAATAAAGGAGAAAGACTCATGGTATATTACAATCATCATTTAATTAACTAGTTTTTTTAATTATTAGTTTATTAAATAATGAACTAAATTTAAAAATCTGATTAATACAAATGATGTAGTTGTCCACATCAAATGCCACCTAAAGTGGCATGAAAATATGATACAAAAATATGATATGAATAACATTACTCGTCTTTTTTTCCAACCGCTACGGAAGTCCCACCTCACATGCACGCACTCTTTATATGTGAAGATATGTCTTTGCAACGAGTAGTAAATCAAGATACGTCTTTGCAGTTTCCCACCACACATGCACGCACTCTTTATATGTTTTATTTGGCTCTCAAACTTTTGAAGATGTGGTGAAGGATCTTGTCAATCAAGATACGTCTTTGCAGTTTCCCACCTCACATGCATGCACTCTTTATATGTTTTATTAGTCATATAAAAATAAGGTAACCCGGTAGATGCCCATTATATATGTGCACGAGTAGTAAAAATTACACTTACAAATGCTCATTATATATCATGCATGAAATCATATGAAAGATTTTTACCTCTCAATGAATTGACTTTGATCTTGAGTTGTAAATACGAGAGGGTCCAACATTTTACTAACTTGTGGAATCTTCAAGGTTAGGATATTTTAAAATGCACATAAATACAATACAATTCATTATTTCTCTTGGGAGGGTCCAACATTTTACAATTAGAAAGTCTCAAACTTTTGTATACACGTATGTAATTCAATGTTTTTTTCTTTTAGTATCTGTTGGCGTCTATTTATAATTAATTTTATAGTATTATAAAATATGTTTTGATTCTATCATACATATATATATATTATGTGTTTGTATATGCGACAAAATAATTGTACTCACATGTGGAATCTTTGGATTCAAGCTCACGGTGCTCCACTGCCACTGGAATCTGCAACCGATTTGAACGGAATATTTAATAGAGCTGATGAAAATGATTATTGTTTTACTTTTTTACAAGTTCAAGAACTTACACTCTAATTAGGTTAAACTTCATGATTCATTGCTCTAATTTTTTTAGGCCAAATTGGATTATTCATCCATGTGGTCATAGGAAACTTGCATGATGACCTCCGTGGTGAAAAAACTAGGAATTAAACCCCTGTGGTCAAGAATGTTAGCAAATTTAGTCCAAAAGTAAGATTTTTGTTAAATGACTGTTAAAAGTATAGGTAAAACTATATTTTCAGTTCCAATTGACATTTAAAATAAATAATTTTTTTATAACAATTAACAAAAAAAATAATGCTTATTTTTTTAAATAAAAAATAGCGCCAATTCAATATCAATTGGAACTGAAAATACAGTTTTACCCCAACTTTTAACAGTAATTTAACAGAAATCTTACTTTTGGACTAAATTTGCTAACATTCTAGACTACAGGGGTTTAATTCCTAGTTTTTTCACCACGAGGGTCATCATGCAAGTGTCCTATGACCACAGGGATGAACAATCCAATTTAGCCATTTTTTTATTGTGATTATGAAGTGCTATTGACATTTCAAAACATCACTATCCACTCCTCCAGAGTGAAAAAAAAAATGGACAAGAGTTAGATGACTTTTTCTTATTATGACTGACAACAATTCTTTTAAGTTTTCATATGAATTATTTTGAGTGAGTGAGAAAATAAATTATGGTAAAAAATAGACCAAGGGTTTTTTTTTTTGGGACAATAATAGGCCAAAGTTTAGAGGCTTTGCATTGTAACAAAATGAATTACTTTCACACCAAAGGTTGCGGAACAAACATGAGACTTTCGAGAAATTTTGAGGAGTTCCCTACACTTATTTCAGGTGGTGTTTTCTATTTGTGAGAATTTAACATCTAAATTTATTTAATTAAAAAGAAAAAAAAAATTAAATATCAACTTTCCATTTGCGAT